TTGTACAACGATCAGATCAGGGGGATAAAAGGGGAAAGAGACAACTGGCGTGGACTGCTTGGGGATGTGAATGTTTCTGGTATCCAGTCCTGCACATCAGCAGAAAGCTTGAAAAATCCACAGGCAAGGTTTAAGAATTTTGCGTGGCATCCAGCTGGAGGTGGAAGCTGCGCACAGCGATCTTGCCCATCACAAAAGACGTTTTATCACAGCCCGGTGCAAACAATAAGAAGTAAACAACTGGATTTCAAATGTAAGGGTGACACAAACTAGCAAAAATTCAGTTCAAAAATTAAGTATCTTTATTGTACAGTTTTAGAAAATTTTTTACAGTTTTAAACCAAAACAGGCTAAAGGAAAGTAAATTCCAGGGGTTTTTTAAAGCAAAACAGAAGAAAAAAACCAATCCAACACTGCAATTTCAGTTGACCCATCATTTTCAAGTTTTTTTTTCACCCTATCCACGTACGCCTGCAATAGGCTCAATTACTCCATGGAAAATTCCCTCTGCAGAAACCCTTGGGATATTTCTCATCTCTTGTCCTACGATTCCATCCCCACCCCCCCGCCTCCAGTTAATTTTGAAATAGGGTTTTTCCCATGTCACATCACAGAAGGAAGAAGCAAATCTGCATTCGGTCACTGGAGGTGCTATGTATTACGAGTACTATGTATTTACAGATACAAAAATATAGATATTGTGATATGCTGTGCAATCAGATACAAGGCTGTAATTCAGTCAGAGGGAGGGATGATATCGAAATCATCAAGAGCTGTATAGACACGGGGGGGAAAGAACCCACCCAGACCAAACTGAAAATCTGATGCACGTGTTACAGCGAGACCTACACTTTCGGATAAAATGTTTACCAAAAATATCTTTTACTACTGGGAAACGACATCGCATTTTCTGGCTGTCTTTGCAATGGCTCCATCCTATTGCCAGCACAGGAAGGTATCAGTAAGGTGACATGTTCAGTTCTTTATTATTATTTGCAAAGAATAATCTGACTTGTACTGTAGATATAAGATACCTCTATCACCGATAAGTCACAAAATTACTGATTTATCTGTCCTGGTAGGTACCATGCACCAATTTTACAAGTCACCACCTGGCAAATACTGCACCTACAGTCTGTGCGAGAGGAGGGAGTCGCCCCCCTCACCCCAGGGGGCTGCAACTCAGCAACCCCAGGAACTAAAACTCTGAAGCCAACATCCATAGCACAGGCGATTACCTGACGAGACAAGATAAAAATCAGGGAATGGGGGAAGAATATTCATGTTATCAGCATTCCTGACACGGCTGGCGATGACTGACTACACCCCACAGAGAACTCAATCCCTCATTCTTGACGTCCCATCTGCACCTCATTTCCACCGCTTCCGTTCGTTTGGTGATAGTAGCCCCCGTGCAGGGAAAAATACCTGAATCGAGTTTTCACATGGGTCTTCCTACACGGACCAACTCTCTTAGCTGGGTGGGTTTTGTTTGGGGTTTTTTGTTGGATTTTTTTGTTTGGTTTTGGGGTTTTTTTTGTTGTTGTTTTGGTTTGGGTTTTTTTAATTAAGGGGCCAAACCGCATAGATGATCTTCAAAACAGCACAAATATATCACAGGTTTTGGATCGCAAGAAAATCCTTCCTTCAGCACCGTAAGAAACGAGCTTAAAAAGTTCATTCCTCATGCGCACAGATGCAGAGTTAAACATATGCATTCGCAAGCGCTAAAATTTACCTTCAGAGTTTGCACTCTCCGTATCAGTAGCCTATATACTATTATTTGAACATTATTACAAAGTCCTTCCACCAAGACATCAGACATTTAAAACTGTTCTACTTACATTACCTCCCAAGAACAAACCTCCTCACTGAAAGCAGCTACTATCAAGCACCCAAGAAACCAGAGTTAAGCAAACTGGTATCTGCCTCTCAACTCATAAATCCTCTTTATATGGCTCTAAATTGGCCTCCAGCCTCCCACCTGATCCTCATGCAAAGCCACCACTAGTACAGCTTTACTAAAAGTAACACTAGCATCCTTCAAACAGGGCTCACCCATTGCAGGGAGGTGACTGGAGCCCCAGTTCCTTCATGGACAGAGAAACCGGGGGAGCACGGCTAAAAATAACGAGCAGACCATCCACGGTCAGGGCTGCAAATCCATCGCTTTCTTTAAACAGTTAGGTTTTGCTTTTCAGGCTGAAAGTACTGGAGCTCATACTTATTGTCAGTGACTTCTTGGATCAAAAAGATTAATTTTTACTCTTAAAATATGACATGCACCCCTCCCGCCCCCCATGATCAATGCATCACGCGATCCAGGCATCAGGCTGGGCTACGGTGACCGGTTCCCAGTTGCACGCTTCTCAGACAGCACGAGGACTGCACTGTGAACCAGAGATTTCTTTTTGCTCTCCCACAGCCTCTGCTGGCTCTATGAAAGTTTGAGAAGCAAAAGGTTGTTGGAGGGGACAAGTGACAAAGGGCGAGTTATAGACGAACAGGCAATAGACGTTCACACCAGCACAGGCTATTGCCATCAACTGGAAATTAGAGAGAAATAAGGCTTTCTCCCCAGCCAGGCTTGCTGCCGCGTTCGTCTGGGGTAACATCATCAACACGCTCATTTTTTTTTGCCTATGGAAAAAAAACCAAACAGATTCTGACCCAAAACAGATTGAACTGCACCGCTCCAGGTTTTTTTTGTCACACTAAACCCAAACCACTTTTTTGCAGTTTTTGTTCAATGTGAATTGGAACAACTTCAGTCAGAGCAGAATAATAATAAAAAAAAAACCCTACTGGTTTCTTGCTGTGGAAGATGCATGTCAAGGACTGCGCTCCTCCCAGAGCACCACCAGCTTCCCACCATCGCAGCCACTGAAAGCTTGGACCCCCACCAGAGAAGTGGTTGGTTTATGGCATTTTCTTGACCACAACTTTAAGATGAAAAGAGCTATTCTGTCCTTTGCAAACTTCTGGCTTAAGGAAAAAGTTATCGTATTGGAAACAACACCAGCTATGACCGTTGTGTACAACCCAACAGTGATGGGCTGGCCTCCTGGAAGCACCACTGAACTAACAGCACAGACTGCCCGGGGTGTTGCTGTTCAGAGCGGGTCACCTCTCGGAGCTGGAAATCTTTCAGCAATACCTGGCTGTTATTTGGTGGTGACCTGGTACTGCAGGGCACCCTTCCAGCTCAGGTCACTTGTTGTTTTGGTTTTTTTTGAGGAGCTATGATGAGCTTGTTTACTTTGAGACCGTGTCTTTGCATAGTGTCAGCTAACCAATGTTTACATGAAACACCCAGAGTTCACAACACACAGTGCACGTGTGTCAGCAGGAGTTCTTAACCAAAAATTTCTAGCCTATGGATCATCTCAAAGATTTCTCTGAGATAAACACCTGGAGGAAGTTTGCCATCTGGAGCTGAACTTGCATGCTAACATGCAGGGAAATACCGTGAGAACCTTGATAAACTAAGGAAGGTGGCTCCAAGTTACCCCAGGAGCACGCACGCGTGTAACCCTCGGCTACCAACCTCGGCTAGATCAACAACAGGAACGAGAGTTGTAATATTCCCAAGAGCTTCTGGGAAAACAGAACCAAAACCAAGTCACTGCATCACACAAAGTTAAGTCCTCCCTCTACCAGCTCCTGAAATTATAGATGACTCTGGGCATGATATACTAGTTCCACATTCAAGAAAATCCAATTTAAGCACGTTACTTATCATCCATCGCTAATCTACAGATGGCAAATCCTCATCTTTACTCCACATAATTTGAACATTTTACCTGCAAAACTGGAAGAGGAAAAGGCAAAAGGTGAAACGCTCACGGAAGAGCACATAATGGATAAATGCAGATGATACCGAGGATCAGTGAACACACAATTCTCTTATGCCAGTGCCAAAGGAAGCTTCTGGTAGCATGCAAGGCTGTCCTGTTCCAAAAACCTGCCAGGGTGCCAGAAACATTCAATGCAAGTCAACAAATTAAACACATTTAAAAACAATTCTTATCTCAGTAGGAAGAGCACCGTATCTATTTAACGTGTGCATTGATGTGGTTTCTTCCCAGGGGATTTATCATCTTCAAATTAGCAAAACAAAAAGTCTTTGTTATACAAGACCTGAATTGCCAGTCGCAATGCCTGCAAAACTCCATTACGGCACTTGTAAGATATGAACTGACTGCTACACCATAAAGTTCATGCTAAGAGGGCATTGAATTATAGAAAGCCTGACCCTCAGACTACACCTGGACTAAAGTGGGCCAGGGCTTGTTCGCTGGCCTCGAATGCAAGTGGCAGGACGTGGCTCTTGTCTGAGCAGTCAAATTCTTTACTCTCGGAAGCAGATGAGCTCAGCAATAGCTCGCAATGGAAACAGCCCAACCCCAGAGAGGTTTTGTAGGCTTCCCACGGCTAACCACGTCAGCTGTTAGCCATCATTAGAGATTTTTCTACCACCAGCTTTAAAATTCCCTTACTATAACTTAAGTCTATTAATTCTAATGGCATCACTACTCGAAAAAGAAAAAATTACTCGTTTTTTTTCCAATTTGCAGTAGCACTACAGATTTTTGGATATTTATCAGACATGCCCTTAGGTCTTCTCTTTGAAGTAGTAGTTTTGGATCTCTGGAGTAAACTCTTGCACTGACACTCTTTTCCAGTGTCTCCTCATGCTTTCTGAGCCACCTTAGAATCATAGAATCGTTTGTGTTGGAAAAGCCCTTTAAGATCATCAAGTCCAACCGTTCCCCTAACCCTGCCATCCCACCACTAAACCCTGGCCCTAAGCACCTCGTCTGCCCGGCC